GCTTGACGCTGCTCCAGCTTCGCAAAAGTTCACAGGTTTCGCCAGAGTGAGACTTGTGAAACCGGTAGGGAAGCAATGATAGTACAAAATGCCCCCCGCCGATAGCCGACGTGCGCCCTGTGTTTGGCTCGTAGAACAAAACCACTCAGCACTCAGTTTATTGGAAACCTTTTTTGTTACCATCTCATCAAATGCAACTAGTTGGGGGTTGAGCTGATTGCGGACACAACTCATCAGGAGTCCGTTGATCGAACGACATTGGCCATTCCCCACTAGTCCCAGACTGCTACACCCAGAAGCTTTAGGCATTTCCACAGGCACCTCAAACTGGTAATGTAAGGTAGATCGAAGACATGAATTTTCGAACTAGCTTTTACGACCTCGCGCATGATTCCACGGAAATAACAAGCCTTTTTTGAAACTTCGTCCCTAATTTCACTCAGCTGCTTGATATTGGCCCAATTTAGCACAGGAGAGGACTAGTGGCGTATCGTTTTTTCTACTTCGGAAATGGACTTCGAGATCGAGCGCAAATGGCCAATCCATCCACGTCCAATGGGATAAGACTGAATGGGGGGAGAAGGTGGTTAGCAGAGAGTGGCGTTGACCAGGGGGAGTTAATTATGTTGGTAATGGTGCGATGGGTGCGAGACGTTTTTATGACCGCACGAAGATGCGTCCCCAATTCGAAAGGTAATTGAATGGACTATATTTTGAATTTTCTTTCCTACATCCGGATTTCTGGTAGTGTGAAATATCTGAAACATGGGTATCTTTCTGGTTGAACCGTCTCTTGATCATCCTTGACACTTCTCTTGCCCTTTTGGTGTTTCCATATGAAATCGCACTGTGCTTCATCCTTGGCCAGGAGCGCCGGTTTTGTGGGATAAGATGGGTCTGGCCGGTTAGGTGATGGCGTTAAAGTATGTGGAGTGCTAGCTGCTCAGCTTCAGTTGACGACTACTGAACTTACGCGCTCTTTCGTCTACCCTTTGCGTCAGTCTACCTTAGAGACAATTCTCGCGATCAAGCTTTGCGGGTAGCAGGTGCTCAGTCATAAACCATAGCCTATAAGTAACTCCCCAGTAGAGAAAGAAGAGAAGAACATCGAGAACACTTCGAACAGAGACCTCTTTAGTAGTAGGGGCCCTGGACGAGTTTGTAGGGCACCGGGCAGGCTCAATTAGCAAGACTCAACGTGCCACAATCCCTGACAAGAGCACAGGAAATCACCCTACGACGCTCCAGGCAACGCTATGTGCACACGCAACCGCTTGTAAGCCGTTGTCTTGCAGAGTGAAAGTAATCGTGGTTGCAATAATCACGCGTCTCTTTCTTCTTTGTATCAAAGTTTCGAGTGATGAAAGTGTGTATTCTCTGCGAATGCGGAAAACGATGTCAAGTACACGGAGGCATCTCGCGGACCACTTGATCGCGGGAACTGTCTTTAATGGCAAAACCTTCATATGTTTTTTTTCAGGATGTGGTGCTGGAGGCTGATCGTCCTGGCGGTGGCGATCTCAGCCGAAGAGGAGCACTTTCTCGACGTGAAGCAGATTGTCAAGGTAAGCTCTTCTTCAAATCTTTCTGTTATTTCTCCCATGAGACTTCTCGATCTCAGTTTATTTGCGTGTTAGGGTCGTCCGGATTTGCCAGTCCTATTCTCACCAGATGCTGATGTTTCGGTTTTATATAGAAGAGATAAACAGCCGGTAATGGTGTGCGGTGTATATTCACCCCCGTAGTGATCGTCACACATCACTCGTTTCACACTTGACCGCATCCGCTTCTAACATTGTATTTTGGCTTGAGCATTTTCGTCTGGCATGTTGTTGTGGATGTAGATCACCTCAGGTCAAGTTTTTTCCCTCACGGGATTTTCTTTTGATTCTAGGGGACCATTGAAGCCGTAGCAAAGCTTGCCCATACCGCAACAGAATACCAGCGCGGAAGGAGAGAAGAATCCTGAAGACTTCTACAGGTTCGCCTGCTCTTTCTTCAGCCTCAGCTTGTTTGTAGCTTGAAAGCGACCTCTCTAGATTGTTTCAACTGCCAGCCGACATCATGACCAAGCTGGCAGAGGATGCTGGCTATATAGATCCACGGACAACAACAAGTGGGCCATGGATCGTGCGCAGGTGATTTATGTTCCAAGGACGTTTCTTTGTTGCGTTTGATCACCCCTCTTTTACGAGCTGATAGTCTAGAAAGTGTCGGGAGTTTTTTTACACCCCGCAGAAGCGCCCTAAAGCGCTTTCATACCTTGACGGGATCGAGAGAGGGATCATTTGGTCTACCGATTCTGTTGATTTACTGGAGGAAGAACCCGAATCCGGGAAGGCGTTCTGGAGAAAGCAATCCTCTCTCCGTGCGGAAGTGTAGCACTTAGGGCACATTCTGCCCTCGAGGAAAATTCTACAGAATACAGCCCCCTCAAAGTTTCCTGATCTAGTAAGACCCTCCTTCCCGATCCTATCTCCCATCTTCCCTCATTCTCCAAACCCCCCCCCACATCTTTCCCGAAGTTTGTTCGCCAAGTTCTCTATTTTTTCTCTCCATACTCCCTATCCTTTCCAGGGTTTTTTTTCCGAGGTTCCCCATTCTTTCGGTCAGGTGACAACTAAAACTTTTGATGGAGATCCTCGCGCGAAAAACGAGAGTGCAGAGAAGCAGAGGACTGCTGCTACCAATGTGTCCAAAAGTGGAAAGAAACGCAGAAAGGTCGGCGATGGGCTCTTTCAGAGGTACGAGACTCCAGGGTGGATAAACCACTTATAGGGCATAAAATTTGGAATGTTTAAGGCCCTAGTGTACACGCAATGGCAGAAGAGAGAACGCAGAGAAAAACAGGAAAATTGCCACTAGAAGAAGCCTCAAATCCATCTGTCTATAAACCCATTTCAAGAAATCGCCGCCGAACGGAGCGGGTGTATGGCTCACGTGGAAAGGGGAAACCAAAAAGTCAACAACCATAATATTTTTGTACAGTAGCAAATACCCCCCCCCCTCCCTCCAACGAGACCGACTTCCCTCATTGGGATCCCTAGCACGTACGATGTGCCGTAGGGGTAATACCCTGGTGTCGCAGGAAGTCGCCCAGTCCAGTTAATAGTTCCGGGTACACTGCGGCGGGAGCAAGTTCAAAAATCAGCCCCGCGTTTTTTGGCGTTTGTTTGTTGAACTCACGGGTGCAGCCCAACCAGGACACTCCACTGATCCTGTTCTGGTCATAAAAGTGACCCAGGTGAACAGGTTGGATAGAGGCTGCGCTGAACCATTTAAAAGGTTCGTGCGTTCCAATTTGAGCTAGTTAGTAACGTGACTTTCGGCACTGAAAGTTGCTGAACACTTCTCACCGAAAATCGACGTTGTTTTTACGAAGGGAACAGTCTTCTATCATAAAAGGGCCGAGATTCCGCGCGCTAGCATCGGAAGCGTTATCGAGGCCGGTCATCAATCTCAGGTAATACCTCGCCTCGCTGTGAAGTCAAACTTATTCGAACTGTGTGGACCTGGAATTCGCCATCGAAACAGGGATTGTCGAGTGTCACGACGCTTGGGCATTCTATGTAGGAGCGCACATATGTAGAGAAATGACAAGATTCAGATGAGGACCGCTCTTCGTCAACGTAAGAACCTACCGTAAGGAGTCTGGCAGTTTGGTTCACCTGCGCCTAATACTTATCCCAGTTGCCTTCATTTTTACAACTTCATTATCTCGAT